CAACTTTTTAACCGATCAATTGGAATCGACTGCTGTTTGAATTGAAATTCAATGGAAAATTGCATAGAACTTTCGAACTTTCTCACTCTGTCATTGTCAAAAATATTATGATTTTGACGAAAAAATTTTATTGAAAATCATTGCCAAGACACGAGTGCTGAAATGAGAGCGAAGATTTGCGACGTAAACGTGAAAGCGGTCAATCCGGCTGCTGCGTTACGTAAAACTATCAACGGAAAAACCATCGTAACCCGCTGTGTGAACCCACTCGGTGGAAAATCCACAAACAAAATCTGTTCCATAATCTCCGGGAAATACCGTGCAATAAATTTATATTGGCGATTGGTATGGCGTCACTTTTGGTCCCGCCCACATCAAATATCAACCTCCGGATGTCCTAAACTTATTCGCAAATACACGGTAATCTTTTACGTAAATACACACCAAGTGCGAATTCTTGCGAAAAGAGGAGTGTACGAATTTTTTGCTACCTTGAACGATGAAGGAATGTTGTGACACGTTAATACCTTGACCACGAGACCGCACTATTATATTCAATAATTTAATTCCATCAAGAGTTTCCATTTCCATTTCCATTCCCATTTATATTTCCATTGCCGTTTATCTTCCTCATTAAAATATATAAAAGATGTATCTGACTATCCGCCATTTTTTTTGTATTTTATGGAGATTTTATGGAATTTTCTTGTAAGCGATGTTTTCCTAAAGAATGTCACAGAATAAATTTATATCACTTTTCAAATTAGTTTTCACTTCGACTTCCATTGTTTCTCTTTGTTGTGTGATTTTCGCCTTGTCAATACATTTTATTAATACACATTTTTGCATTAAAAAATACTAAATTTAGGCCCCATGTCTGTCTGTGGTAATATCCGGTCAGGGGTCACTTTTGCTAAAAATTAACAAATAAGCGAAAAAACTTTTTCGCACGGAATTTTAATCTGTTAATTTGCGTAACGAAGTAGCCGAATAACTTCCAAGAAATAGTATTTTTCACGCCTAGGACGGAAAAAGGGAATCTGACAAATGCGACTTTATAGTCCGAGTCGGAGACGAGGATTATAATGCGCATGAGTCAGAATCACTTTTTTCACCGTGGCTATGATGCTATTTTATGTCATCGTGGCCGAAAACGCGTTTTTATCCGAGCGAAGCGAAGTTAGAAACGCGTTTTACCGGCCGTAATGACATAAATGTAATTTGCTTGTTTACACTTTTTCGGAATTATCTCGACAAAAACTCAAACGATTGACTTCTTTTTTAAAAATGTTTTTCTTGTTGCCCTCTATCTCAAGCAGCGAAAACATATATGCCCGCTCGTACAAAATTTCTACAAAATTTCTAAACGTTGAGTTAAATATTTAATTTTTTATATTAAAAAAAACAGCATATTTTCGTCATTTTTTTAAGATATAAAATGAAATATTTAATTAAAGGGTCTCGAGTGTTAATCGAAGAAATTGTTTGAGAAATAGTTGACTTCATATGCACATTTCATTTCTTCAATTTCGCAATAACAACATGACATACTTCAATAATTTTTCTTTCAAAATATTCCCCTACATGCCCTTTCTGCCAAATCATCAAAATATATACATTTATATGAAGTTTTTAGATTTCGAAACTTGACAATTGAACATTAAATTTATCAAATGTTCAATCCGTCAAGATCTTCTGAAAATACAAGTCTGAGTTTCCAATACCTTTACGAACTTTGATATTTAAATGAATAAAATCCGAATACAATTATTTAAAATTTCAAAATTTTTCACACTCACGTATTGTTTCATTACCGAAGTAAACTACGATCAGAGCATTTCCGTATATTTTTATAGCTAATTGATAACTCTTACAAAAAGAATTTTTATGAAAAAATTACTTACTTGGTCCATTTTCAAAATATTTACGATAAAATCGGCTCTCGAAACAATCCGCTTATACTAGTTTGATTACCCTTGTTTTAATTGTGATAATTCATGTTTCATACAACCTCAAGATATCTTCCATCATTTCATCCACTGTATTATCTATATTCTGACATTATTTCATTGGCCACGAACTTTACCCACCGATAGATGTTTGAATACACACATATTAAATCATAAAAATATTCAGTTCATAAATTGAATATTCGCCCAATTTAGGTTTCAACCTCTTACCGCTAGTTCTCCATACAAAATACAAAAATAATGAAAACATAAGCAACTTGAAATCAACTCACGTATCATTACGGGCGGGAAGTAAGATCCCGAGAAGGAAGACCACCAGCGTTATACCCACCTTTGCATCACTTCAAAAATAATGTTATTTTGAACATTGTTACCTTGACCTTGAATAATCCTGCACAAGACTGTTTGAATTTACATGGCAAGCCAATGGGTCATGGAAGCAGATGAGCAAAAAATCATGAAGGAATTGTTTTCTACTCCAGACGAAACGTCAAACATCCTCATGAAAAAAATTATGGCAAAAAGTACTTTGCGATTGTGACGAGTTGTGCAGCATGAGTTGTGAGATTAAGCAGCGAAAAATCATTTTGGATATTAACGTCTAGTCATTGCTCCTTCTGGCATCTATCTCCATTTAGAATTTCTCTATTGTCATTTAGTTAATATCAACAGAACATTTTTCAATATCAAAAATCAAATCAATTTATTCACCTCCACTTGATCCACCTCCAATTGATTTGGCATAAGTAAATGTCAACAAATATTTCCATTTGAAATGTATGAATTTTCTTGTAGGTAGTGAATTGACTTGGGAGAAATAATTGTTTTTCTGAGTGAAGACAACGCACTTATTCGAAACTTGTGCTGCCATCTTTGGAAAGAAGCGCGATTCTTGTATGTCGGTAGTTTTGTGGGAGTCGACTCAACAGATTCTGCCAAATCTCATTTTTTTAAATTTAATTTGATCATTAAATAGAAGTACTTCCAAAATATGTCATACTCCATTAAAATTCCTCATAAAATGATCGCATATAGTGACTTTAGAGCTTGTACATCACATTAGGCGGCAATTTCGGGAACAGTCATAATTTGATAAATTTTCATAAAGAATTGAGTTTATCAAACGACCTTGAGATCTAACGCAACCTATGTCATCTGTTAGATGAAATTCTATGATTTAAGGCACAAAAAGTTTGTGATTTATTTTTCAATTTGTTTCGAAAAAATGCCTAAACAATATTCAGATGACGTAGAATGAACCCACCCACAAAGTTGGTATATTAACATTGACGTCATGAACTCTTCGAGGAATCCCCAAGCTTGAATCGAAATTTTTCAGGATTTTTTTCCAATGACTTGCATTTTATCTAACTTTTTGTTCTTTTTTTGCTAGTGAATACACCTGGTCTTTGGAAGGATTCACCTCGGACTTTATGGGCCTTGATGGGTCCCCTCCGTCGATTTTTAATGATCAGGACTGGTTCCATCGGTTCTTGACGCCTTTCACTAAAGAACTTCAATGGCGCAGACTTCCAATTTCCCTCAAGATGTACTAATTCTTCATTCAAAAACTTTCACGACTTGATAAAAATTCATACATGCAACTTTTATCAAGTGATAAAAATAAAGTTATCTATTTTTGTTAAAGGTGAAGCATTCTATGGCAATTTCACAAGCTCACCACCTCGACCCCTTACATTTTTTATAACGATTTGTAACGATGTTTATATGACAGGTAGAAGACAATTTGTCGATGTTTTCAAGTTTTTAGCACTTTTTACGGCTGTTCGTAGCGATAAAAATTATAGTTATTCCAATTTTATTGAAAACAGGAAATTAAATTAATATTTTATACATAAATTTTAAGTCCTTCACTGTCTCAACTCAATTTGGTGAACATTCATCAATCTTTCTTTGAGGAGAAACTCGTGGAGAATTTGTAGATCTTCTTAAGGAATAAAATGAGAATGATTCACTCCGCGTCTCGTGGACTTTAGTTTGAATCATTGGACTCGGGATCAAATTCTCCTTTACTAAGTGACCACAGGCGTAACTAAAAGTCGTGAGTACCGAAATTCATAAGATTTCATGTTCAAAGTTCATTTTAGGAAGATAGTATCCAAAAAATAGTATATAATTTGCATGCATTCGAGCAAGTTTCCTATCATAATTATTGCTCGGCAATGCAAAAAAGGGCGATTTTACAAAATATACTGTTACAATCATAATAAACTGAAACAGAGAATCACCTCTGCTTTAGATGATCTAAAGTTCAGATACTAAATCATATAAAAATGCTGAGAGTGCCCCTTCATGACCGAATGACTCATATCAGTACAAATATGTGATCTGTATTCAAGAGAAGACTCATGATTTCCATTTATAGCGATATGATTATTATCCATGAGATCGGTAAGAGCCTTGCAGAAATCTAAAATGATTAATGTAAAAAAACATCTTTGAAAAAAAAATCATTTGAATTTCAGACATCTACATCTCCATATTCGCAAGAATAAAAAAGTGGAAGGTATGTAATTATCTTCAATGTAATTACATATCAACGAATTATTATTATCTCTCTATGACAACATGTATTTCTTTTTGTATTCAACAAACAAAATGAATGCAAATGTTGCGGAATTTTTCAGCTCGAATGGACATTTTGACAATGAATGGGATATCTCTTTCATTGATACGATATTTATGGTGAAAGTTCTTTCGGTACATGAGGAAGAATTGCGGAAGCTAAGACACACGTTTGGCGGGACGAGTAATGACCGGCAGGAGAAAATACCATGTTACTTTAATTTATTAATCAATGAACCAACAAATTTAATTTCATCAATGACAATTGCCACGTGAAATGATTGATGAATATTCCATCGGTTCAAAAATACAATAAGAAAAGGCTTTTAGGCTTCTGCCCGATAACTATTAACAGAATTCGGTCAATTGATAGAATACGATGCTTCAGATGATCTCTCAAAAAATTAGATTTCACACGATTAACAACTTGTTGTTTTGACTTACCTTGTTAATCCACTGCTCCAACTAAACATTTTTCTAATTCTCTCTGCTTGCGGATCGTCCTTCATGGTCATTTTGTAGTTTTTAATGGTATTCCGTCTCCTCGGAATGAATTTGTTAGCTACTTCGCGTCCCCAATATTTTCAGGTACAAATCCTTTTCTTCTTCTTGTGTCAGAACATTTTTTTCTCATTTACGGGTGATATCGCGTCACTGAAAGTGAAACGCAAATGTAAAATTGCAATAGACAAGTAAAATTGCAATAGTTCCTCTCACTCATGCGTATTTATTTTTTTCCAAGGAATGAAAAGAGGTAATTGTATTTATGGTTTTATACGTATTGAGGTGAACACGGGCGATTTCTTCATCGTATAGTATTGGAAGTTATTATTAGAAAGTGTTGGCTCGGTACTGGACGTATGAGGTGAAGCTGTTTTATTTTTTATTTATTTTTCATTTTTTGCTTGAACGCATAACTGATGAGCGACGGTGATTGAGCCAAGTGAAGAGTATTTAAAATTTCCATATTACTATTGACGCATTTTTAATCAATCCAAGAGAGAGACAGTTGACAACAAAATTAATCATAACCTCTGATGACTATAACTATAATAATTCCTGCATTTAAGTGCGCACAAATCAAATGTTGATAAAAATTGTCAAAAACTTGTGGAAAACTATAGAATTTTGCCAGAGAAATTCTTTCATTTTTCTCATATTGAGTCAGGTATATTATTAAGTCAAGTGAGATTTGGAATAAAATAATTGAAATGAAATGAATCAATAATTAATGTCGTTGAGGGTAATGCACTTATTTGAAGTGTAAAATATAGTAGATTGGGGTATATTTTTTGCACAAATGAATTGGATTGGTTTGATTGAACCGGTCCTCCTTGCCTCCACTTAACCCAACCATAAGACTAGTTAATTCTCGTATCATCGGAATGCTGACGAAATCCCATGTACATTAGAAAGGATTTATTTTTCGTGAAAGTACGTATTTGATAATGATACTCGCTACGTAAACGCAAGTACAACATAATGCTGTTGGAGTCTAACCGCAGTAGAGACTCGAGACCTACATTCATGACATCCACCAACGATGCCACCATAGCCCCGTTTTTTAAACCAATCCCCGAAAGGATCTTCCGACTCACTTGAAAAAGAAAATATTCCGCTATATCATATACATTCTTTAAATATTTTAAATACTCACAGAAAATAACCGCACGGAAATCAAGTATATTTTAGACTTAATACAAGCACATATGTATATTATATATTATATTTGATTCTAGTATAGTCGATTTTCAATGTCCTACATGATTTTGATGCTCCTTTTAGAGTTTTGTTTGTTGTTGAATTTCGCTTCTTTATCCATTACCCTTTTTTGTAAACAGTTGCTCCTGTTTAGCTTTCAAATTATTCCCATATTCTCATCAATTTCTTTGTCCAAAACATAATTTATTGATACCGCATTGAAAATGGAATATATTAAGATCAAATAGACAATTAATATTAGTGTTTTAGATTGTGATATAGATATGAGGATTCAAGTATATTTTTTTTGTAGATGTTTCAGGTGAAGTATAGCAAGTAATTGACCACTGTAATCATAAATACAATTACTTCTTAATGTGATCAGATGAACACGATAATTCACGAGTGGTGAATCATGCCAAGTGGAATTTTGAAGGTATGTAAAAATCCTAATTAAATTTGAGTCATTATGGTACAAGAAATTTTCTATATATTCATTTACTTCCTATACGTCATTGACAGAAAATGATAATTCACCGAATATCAATAAAATTGCCTGAGTTGCCACGTGAAATAGAAATAGAACATCCATTATTTGCATCTTTATTTCAAGGTCTTTCAACTTTAGAAAATATCCGACATTTGATATTTGTTCAAATGAGTTTTTAGATAAGAAGAATATCATTAAAGTTGAAACAATTTTTAATGATGGCATTATTGTCAGGTATTATCGTCAATAACAGTCAATGCCATGGATCTACAGAATTGAATAATTGCACGTAGTTCTACTTGATTGTCATAGCAATAGTTTTTAAGATATTCTAACGACGCAGAAAGGCCATGACTTATTGACTTCTGCAGTCATGAATATTCCACTTTTTTTTCCATGTTTTTGATACAATTCTCATTTGTTGAAGCAAAAACTTAACAGGTTGTGGACTTCCGACTAGCCAGTAAACACATAAGTCCAAGTAAAAAAATCAATGATTTTTTCAACAAAATTATACGAGAAACGTCTGTCATAGTTAGTCTCCTCTACACTTAATGATATTTATTACCGAAATGAATAAACTAATTAATTGGATGATTCATTTCATTTTTTCCCGTTCAAGCACTTTTTTTAATAACTTTTAAACTCGTGCAGTTGGTAAATAATTTTCCAGAAGACTTGGAAGTGATTTAAAAAATTTGATAATTTAATAGCAGAATGAATTTTAAAGCCATTATTTGTTTAATCGTATATTTCAGATGAACTGTTTATTCAATCTCGACCTTCTAAATACCTCGAAACACCGGAAATCACTTTATGTTTTCCGACAGCTCATCATATTTACGTTCAATATCACAGTCTCAACAATCAATAAAATCCACAGGCCATAAAATCGAATCACCAACACAGAAAGCCTCAACCGAAAATTCTCCCTAGCACTCAATCGTCAACAATTCTAAAAATTTTCCACTTCATACCACACACATTTGATGAGTAAAAAAAAATGCTATTTTCTAGTTAATGAAGAATATCAACTTGATGTTTACCCGTGTATGAACACAACACGAAAAAACAAATCCACGCGTCCTGCGAGTTGGAAAGTTGTTTTTTTCTTGACTCTCTGTATTGGAAAATCCTCAAGAGATAGTGGAGCAATATTAAATTTAACTTAAACACAAATTTAACTTGGAGAGCGTATCGGATATATCGACTAGAGTTGCGCGCGTTTGTAATAAACAATTGGGCACTAGATGAATGAGAAATACGCGCGTTGTACAAGAGTTGGTCGTACGCCCATCCGTTGGACTTTAACGACTGACCTGGTGTACCTCACCCACCTCACCTGTCTTTCCCTGCACTTTCCGACTGGTCACTAATGAAAGTGCACAGACCCCACTCATCTCATGTACCTGTTCTCCATCTTGTCCCGTCATACAGACACACAAGCACTTATTTATCATTTTAAGAAAGAAATATCAAATTCCAATAATCAAAATTGGTACCTGTACATTTCCACCGTCATATACTGCCGTTTTTAAACTTGACTTATTTTTTATTCGGCACTCATATGCACTTTTTGGGGGTTTGAGAATATTTTATAAAAATCAAAAGAGAATATATGCCCCTTGTATTTTTTCGCTTTTCTCCTCTCTCTTTCAAAACTCTAAAATTTCCCCATGAATTATCCTATTAATAAAACAAGCCACTTCGAAAAACAATTTTATCAATAATAGTCGAAGAATTTATTTTCGATTTCGGTCATTAGAAAATTTTGAAATAAACGGATAGACGAAATGGAATGATAAGCACTCATTAAAGGTATGAAACACTCTAATCGTAAATTCCATGTTTATTACTCGGCAACTTGAGTAAACAATTGCACATTTATTGGATTCCACACGAATGACCTCGTTAGAAACTAGCAATGAATTTTTCATTAGCATTTTTTTCGATGAAAATATCAACGACTGAATGATATAGAGAAGTACATTTGTTCAGATTATAATCATCAAACATTGAATAAGATTGCGCGATTCAAAAGAGGTAACTGTACGCTTTTGAATTGAGTAGTAGGTGCCATGAAGGTAAGTTAGTCTCTCTCATTCAAGTTTTTCTCATTTTTTAAAGGATTCTACAAGATGGCCGTTGAGGAATCTCTGTGTCATCGCCGTCATCGCCTGTGCAACCATCGCTGTCTCTCTAGCACCTCTCACTTTTCTATAGTCCGTAATTGTTAAGTTTTATCGAAAAATGTTTTTGCCGTCCAGTGGATAAATTCTCTTTTATTTGGGTGAATGGATTTGGGTCATTACAGACTCAAATCGAGTTTAGGTTGATAGAGGAATTGGTACTTGCAGTAATTTTGAGTATCTTCTTATTTTTTTATTTTTTCATTCAAGGGAACGGAATATTTTCGTTAAATTAATCATTCCTCGAAAACTCTGCAATTCCCGGAAGATGATTTGATTTCTTTATTCATTTTAATTAATTTCCATTTCGTGGGTGTCATTTTTGTATTAACTTCTGTTATAATTCTTGAAAAATAAGTCATTAGCCCCCTCGCAGACATTCAATAATACCTACCACATGAAATGATTACCTAAGGTATATTTTTCAAATAGGAACATAATTTTATAATTGATGGTCTTATGTTTTTATTGGTTTATTGTTGTAAACAATCTATAACTTTAAGATATTCCACGATAGTGGAGAGACAATAAATCTTGCATAAATAGATGTAGGTATTTGATAATGTTTTTATAAGCGATTGGGTTATGAATAATCTCTTGTTATTCCAGGAATAATAATGTACCTTATGAATGAATGGAGATATTTTGATGGTTATAATGAAGAAAATATAACAACTAGGAGTGAGCGTATCCAAAAATGCGATATCTTGAAATGCCACCGTCCGGGGCAATTGTTAATCGCACGTGGCTCACTGGGCCATTCCAGTCCAGAACATCAGATGAGTAAACGTGAGACTTATCAGCTGATAACTGTAGATATATGAAGAATTAGTGAATAATTATAAAAAATCAATGAACCAATTATAAACGAGATTTATAAACAAAATTCGTCAAGAAATATCAAAATATTAATGCGATAACATTCGTTCAGATGGATAAAATAAATTAAAAGTCAGGGATAGATCTTCAGACTCAGATAATATCTTGAGTAATAAATTCTTACAGTTTCTTTCACGTGATCTTTTTGTTCTCTTCTTATTAAAAAAAAAACACG